GTAGCTCGCTTTAGAGGCGACTTTCCGACTCGGGTCTCCCAGCTGGAAAGAGGAGGACAGGGGGGGGCGAAGGAAGAGCGGCAGGGGAAAAGACGGCAGGGGAGTGCTGATGCCATGTGGTTCAGAAAGACGGCCGCGGAGTGCCGCGTGCGCGTGCTGATGTTGGGCCGAAAAACGAAGGCCTCGACTTGTTTCACCACCACGGGAGCCATGTTGGGGTGGGCGTCGAGCAGACAGCCCACGAGGTAGCTCGCTTTGGAAGCGACTTTCCGGCTCGGGTCACCCAGCTGGAGCGAGGCGAGGGATGAGGGAGGGGGGGGCAGGGGAGCAAGGAAAGGGGCGCAGGGGAGCAAAGTACGGGTCAATCAGTTGCCTCGCAAGCATGTTGGGTCGGAACACGAAGAGAGACAGGCGCGCGAGCTGATGTTGGGTCGGAAGACAAATGCTTCCACGTATTTCACCACCACGGGCGGGGGCCATGTTGGGTTGAGCGTCCAGCAGACAGCCCAGCAGGTAGCTGGCTTTGGAAGCGACTTTCCGGCTCGGGTCACCCAGCTGGAATAGGAATTAAGGGGCGGAAAGGAAAGGGGGGAGGTGAGAAAGTAGGGGGGAGTGAGAATGAGCGCCTCGTCGCATTTCACAACAAAGGGGGCCATGTTGGGTTGAGCGTCCAGCAGACAGCCCAGCAGGTAGCTGGCTTTAGAGGCGACTTTCCGACTCGGATCCCCCAGCTGGAGCGAGAGGAGGACGGGGGGAAGGGGGGTGGGGTGTGGACGACAGCAGCGCATGCAGAATGCGACTTTTGAGACGTCTCGAAAGTCGTCTACTTTTGAGACGTCTCAAGAGGACAGGAGGGAAGGGGGATGGGGTGTGGACGACAGCAGCGCATGCAGAATGCGGAACACTGCTTCTTCCCCTCTTCCTCCCCTCCCCATCGCTCACCTTATTCACCAGTGCCTACAGCATGAGTCTCTTTTTCCCTCTCTCCCCACCCTCTCTCCCTTCTCTCTCCTCGCTCTCCACCCTCCCATCCCATCCCACCATCCCTCTTCCCTTATCTCATCTTATTCACCAGCGCCTGGACTGGAGCACCCGTCACTCTACCTCAGGAGTGGACGACAGCAGGGAGTGCAGAATCCGAAGCACCTTATCGCGCACAAACTCAACCACGTCCTTTCCTCCCTCCTCCAGCCGTCCCCCCCAAAGAGGTGACTTTGAGTCGACTCAAAAGTCACCTCGTTTTGAGTCGACTCAAAAGTCACCTCGTTTTGAGTCGACTCAAACGTCACCTCGTTTTGAGCCGACTCAAAAGTCACCTCAGAATCCGAAGCACCTTATCGCGCACACACTCAACCACGTCCTTTCCTCCCTCCTCCAACCACCCATCCCCCCCAAAAACCGCTCAAACCGCTCCTCTCGTTGCCCTCCCTCTCCCCCATCTCTCTCCCCTCCCTCCCCCTCCGTTCCCCAATCCCTTCCCCCTGTTCCCCCCCCCATCGCTCACCTTGTTCACCAGCGTCAGCGCCCCCCAGACGCCAGCAGCAGCACCCGTCTCTCCCCCTCGGGAGTGGACGACAGCAGCGAGTGCAGAATGCGAGCCTCTCCTCGCATAGCACCTGTCTGTACCACTCTCTGCCCCTCTATCTCACCTTATTCACCAGTGCCTGCAGCACCCTCCTCTCCCCTTCCGCTTTGGACGACAGCAGCGCATGCAGAATGCGAAGCACCTTATCCCGCACAAACTCGACCACGTCCTTTCCGCCCTCCTCCAACCCCTCCAAAAACCTCTCAAACCGCTCCTTTAGACACTCCTCGTACCGCCACAACCGCAGCAGCCTCCTTCCCGCATCTCCCCCCGCTACAGTCACCTTCCCTCCCTTGGACTGCTGCGAAGAAGCTTGTACTGAAGCGGCTTGTAGCGAAGCGGATTTTAAAGGGGACAGCAGCAGCAGCGGCTGCTGGTGCAGCCAGCGCAGCTTGCGCGAGTCAGGGAGCAGCGTGGAGGTGAAGAGCTCGCTCAACGCGTCCATGGCTCCCAGGGCATGGCGCTTGGTGGCCTTGTTCACCACCATTGCTGGAGAGAGGAGGGGAGCGAAGAGGGGAGGGAAGAGGAGGGGAGCAGAGAAGGGAGCAGAGAAGGGAGCAGCGAGGAGGTGAAGAGCTCGCTGAAAGCATCCATGGCGCCCAGTGCGTGGCGCTTGGTGGCCTTGTTCACCACCATTGCTGCATTGGAGGGAAGTGGGAGGAGAGAAGAGGGAGACGAAAGAGAGGGGAGCAGCGAGGAGGTGAAGAGCTCGCTCAGGGCGTCCATGGCTCCCAGCGCGTGGCGTTTCGTGGCCTTGTTGACAACCATTGCTGCATGGGAGGGGGGGAAGAGGGGGGAGGGGGGAGGAGACGCAAAGAGCGGGGAGCAGCGAGGAGGTGAAGAGCTCGCTCTGCGCGTCCATGGTGGGGAGAAAGGGGGGAAGCGGGGAGCGAGGGCGATGGGGGGAGAGAAAGAGGGAGGTAAAGCTTTACCAATGCCCCAATTGGGAAAGGTCAATGCCCGTGACTCGTGGAGCTCTGACCAGAACGTGTTGATTTAAATACACAGCTGCTCTATAACGCGTATGCCACTGGCTCTTACCTAGTAACGCGTCCAGGTTGGAGAGATTGGCTACAGGGTCGTCCTGTATAACCACAGTCAGCGCAGCCACACGATCCGCGGCCGTTCCAGATCGACGGACGGCAGCGAGCCACCTGGCATCGCTGCTGCTCTCCTTGCGCCGTTCATACGCTTCCGCCGCCTCCTTCAGAAGCGCGTCCCCATCCCCCCGCAGCTTCTCCGCCAACGCCATCCACTCCGCCTCCGACAGCCCCCCGCGCGGGTCTTCCGCCTGATCCCCTCCGCCCGCCCCTGCGCCTTCCCCCAAGCTCCCATCTGTGCCAGTAGTAGCGCCAATTTCCGCGCCAGCTTCCGCGGATACATCTGCGCCGTTGCCTACGCTTTCCGCCCCTCCGGATTTCTGGCGGGCCTTTTTGGCGAGAGTTTTTTTCGACGGGGTTTTAGCGGGGGATTGCGGAGGTTTAAGGGGGTTGTTCGACGGAGTATCTTTTGACGCGGAAGCTAATAACGAATCTTCGATGCTGCTGGCCTGTTCATACCACACTTTAGGTAAAAGATCCATTGTGATGAAAACGAGGGATTCGAGTGTAGCTGCAATGTGACTACAGCGAGAGAGATTTACAGCTGTGAAATTTCCCGGCTCGGCATAGTGAGCCTTAGAGGATACCTCGGACGAAACGCGCTCGCAGCTGCGGGAGAGTGGATTCGTTGCGCGTGCGATGAACCCTAAGACTGGCAGTAGTGCCAATTATTTCAGGGATTACCTTGGGGTAATCGTTTCCTCGATACAAGATTTTCCAGCACGCTTGCAGCCAGTGCAGTGAACACCCGTTATTCTCATCTACTATGTTGTCTGGCAAAACTTCGTTAGAAATCGCTCGACCCCTGCAATTTGGGTTGTGAACCCCAAATATTTTTGCCAAGCGTTCATTTGACTGCGGTGTGTTTCGCTAGAAAGCGGTCAATTAAATTTTTAGAATGGTTGGGTAGGGTATCGAGCGGCAACGAATTTGTCAAGCGCACCAGGAAAAGAAACAATGTGCGACGAGAGCCTCTCGATCTGTCCCACGTGGCGAGCCGCTCGCAGGGAGGCAATCCCAAGGGGCTGGTTGACCGGTCAGCAGCAAACCTCAGCCAGAAATCACACCAATTATATTTGGGTAATTACCTTCTGGGTAACCAACATCGAAGCCGCTGACGTCAGAAGTCACCTACGTGGCTCGATGGTACCCGTCAGATCATGCGCGCCCCTTCGTGGTACCCATCTTCCCTCCGTGGTACCCATCTTCCCTGCGTGGTACCCATCAACTGTGCGCGAATTCCCTGACTGGTACCGCAACATTTCAACCGAGCTGTACACTGTACAACAAAGGTTTCAATGCGTTTTTCAGTATATTAATAACAACGTTTACAAACTCTTATTGAACATTAATACCCTTGAACATAAATGTTTGAACATGCCTTACACTGGACAGAGTGCAACATAGAAAGAAATCAACTCCTCTTCTAAAATCCTCACATTACCTCCGAACCTTCGTAAGCTCACACCACTGAACGACAGGTAGAGTGAATCTTGCGACCATGTTTCGCAGCGCTCAGTATGTTATTTGAACAAAGTTTATAAGGTTGTATGCAAATAAATTGAGCATGCAACCCCAAAGCTAAACATAAAATCATAAACAAATAATACGTACATTCGTTGGTTTTTGGAAACAAAACAATACATATAATGAAAATCAAATATACCTTAAGTCAATATATACTTTACGTGTAAGTTGATTGTTTGCTATACGGATGTTTTTTTTTTTCGGTTGATGCAATATATCAGTTTTACGTTATCTTATAGCACGTTATATTGTCGATGTTTCTTAGCCTAAACAAATCTACCCAATGAATGCTATTTTATTTAAGAATCCAGCTTTTCTTCTACACTTTATTATAGGTAATGGGTGTGATAAATTGACTCGATCAGGTGGCACTTCGGGCTTGTGACTCTATTGAGCTTGTAAACGTTAAGACAATATACTGAGAAACGCATTGAAACTCTTGGTGTACGGTGTACAGCTCGGTTGAAATGTTGCGGTACCAGTCAGGGAATTCGCGCACAGTTGATGGGTACCACGCAGGGAAGATGGGTACCACGGAGGGAAGATGGGTACCACGAAGGGGCGCGCATGATCTGACGGGTACCATCGAGCCACGTAGGTGACTTTTGACGTCAGCGGGCTCGATGTGAGTTACCCAGAAGGTAATTACCCATTATATTTCCAACCTTTCTAGAAGCTCTTAGTCCACTTACACTCCGATTCATTGCCTAATCGGAAACGTAGTTGTCTCGAAGCTGCATTCGCAGGCCAAATTCACGCGCTCATTCCGGATCCAATCAGCAGTCGCCATGTGGTTCGCGGAGACGCCCAGCAAGCGATGGGCCGAGAAGTTCTTTCTTTACTATTCGCCCGTTTGGATCACATGGGCTCTGGGCATCATCGTCCCGTTTCAGCTCTATAAGGTACCAAGCTTTTTCGCTGTAAGGATATATCAGGGAGCGTGTGAGTCAGCGCAATAGCCGTCAGAGTCACATGAGCTCTAGGGGCAGCTAGCGCTTGGCATTGCCTTGCCTCGTCCCGCGTCTCGTGTCTCTGCATTGGACACTTATGCACTACCACCCCCCAACCACCCCCCACCTCTGTAGTCAGACGATTTTCGATGCGTCTAAGAAATCTCCCCACCCACCCACCCACCCACCCCCTCCTCCCCACGTTCGAGGCGCCTCAAATGTCAACAAGTCAGCAATGCCTCGTCCGACGTCTCAGCATGATCATTTCAATTACTGCCTGATCACACGTGTCTACCCACATAGCTTCCCTCATCCTCCTCCCCCTTCCCCTCCCCCCAGCTTCACGGAGAGAGAGAGAGTATGTTCTGGTGGGAGTCAGTGCGCTTCACAGCGGTTCAACTTCTGCTAGCATTGAGGTGTATTTTGAGGCGCCTCAAAATACACCTCAATGCTTCACGGAGAGAGAGAGAGTATGTGCTGGTGGGAGTCAGTGCACTTCAGAGCGGTTCAACTTCTGCTTGCTCCACCCCCCCTCTCCCCCTCTTCCCCTCCCACCTCACCTCAGCGCTTCACGGATAGGGAGTATCTGCTGGGGGGCCTTGCTTGCAACAAACTCACACGCGTCCACCCATGTTGATGTGACTTTTGAGAATTCTCAAAAGATGATGTGACTTTTGAGAATTCTCAAAAGTCACATCAACATAGGGAGTATCTGCTGGGGGGCCTTGATTGCGACAAACTCACACGCGTCCAACCACACTCTGCTCCACTCCCCCTCTTCCCCACCCCTCCTCGTCCCCTACCCCTACCCCTCCTCTCCGCTCCGCTCAGCGCTTTACGGGGAGGGAGAAGAGAAGCTGCTGGTGGGCTTCATTGCACTCCACTGCCTGACCATGTCCTCAACGTATCGGCGCCCCCACTTCCCTTCCCTTCCAAGTATGTTGGAGTTGCTATAAGGAATTCTCAAGAGAACTTCACATTATCGGCGACCCCACTTCCCCTCCCCTCCCACCCCTCCCTTCCACCTCCTTCCAGCGCTTCACGGAATGGGAGTACCTGTGGGTGGGCCTCAATGCACTTCACAAACCCCTCCCCCTCTTCCCCTCCCCCTCTTCCCCTGCCCCTCCCTTCCACCTCCTTCCAGCGCTTCACGGAGTGGGAGTACCTGTGGGTGGGCCTCGCAGCGGCTCTGCCCTGCGTGATCGTTCCGCCCGTCATGCTGTGTGCGGTGAGTGAGTGAGAGCATCACATGCGCGCGTGCACAGGTGTATTGTTTTGAGGTTACAATAGGCACCGCACTGGTAACCAGCGGCTCTGCCCTGCGTGATCGTTCCGCCCATCATGCTGTGTGCGGTGAGTGGGAGCATGGGAGAGCATGGGAGGGCATGGGAGAGAATGGGAGAGAATCCTTTGTGTGATGAGAGCAAGTGTGATCTCGAACAAGTATAATGTGTCTGTTTGGCATGATGTTTTGCATTTGACCCGTCCTTGCCATTCGCCCACCCATTCTTCCACCCACCTACCTACCCAACCACCCCTCTCACCCTTTTACCCCTTTCAGGCCGACAAGGGGCGGCCATGGCATCCACCCATCCACCCATCTACCTACCCACCCACCCTCCCTCCCGCCCACTCGTCTTCCCCATCAGGTCGACAAGGGGCGCCCATGGCACGAGCAGCACTGGGTGAAGGCGAACGTGTGGATTGCCGTCTGAACACCCTCCCGTGCACCCATCCATCCACCTTGTCATCAGGCTGACAGGTCTAAGCCGTGGCACGAGCAGCACTGGGTGAAGGCAAACGTGTGGATTGCCGTCTGAACACCCTCCCGTGCACCCATCCATCCACCTTCTTATCAGGCTGACAGGTCTAAGCCGTGGCACGAGCAGCACTGGGTGAAGGCAAACGTGTGGATTGCCATCTGAACACCCTCCCGTGCACCCATCCATCCACCTTCTTATCAGGCTGACAGGTCTAAGCCGTGGCACGAGCAGCACTGGGTGAAGGCGAACGTGTGGATTGCCGTCTGAACACCCTCCCGTGCACCCATCCATCCACCTTGTCATCAGGCTGACAGGTCTAAGCCGTGGCACGAGCAGCACTGGGTGAAGGCGAACGTGTGGATTGCCGTCTGAACACCCTCCCGTGCACCCATCCATCCACCTTGTCATCAGGCTGACAGGTCTAAGCCGTGGCACGAGCAGCACTGGGTGAAGGCGAACGTGTGGATTGCCGTCTGAACACCCTCCCGTGCACCCATCCATCCACCTTGTCATCAGGCTGACAGGTCTAAGCCGTGGCACGAGCAGCACTGGGTGAAGGCGAACGTGTGGATTGCCGTCTGAACACCCTCCCGTGCACCCATCCATCCACCTTGTCATCAGGCTGACAGGTCTAAGCCGTGGCACGAGCAGCACTGGGTGAAGGCGAACGTGTGGATTGCCGTCTGAACACCCTCCCGTGCACCCATCCATCCACCTTGTCATCAGGCTGACAGGTCTAAGCCGTGGCACGAGCAGCACTGGGTGAAGGCGAACGTGTGGATTGCCGTCTGAACACCCTCCCGTGCACCCATCCATCCACCTTGTCATCAGGCTGACAGGTCTAAGCCGTGGCACGAGCAGCACTGGGTGAAGGCAAACGTGTGGATTGCCGTCTGAACACCCTCCCGTGCACCCATCCATCCACCTTGTCATCAGGCTGACAGGTCTAAGCCGTGGCACGAGCAGCACTGGGTGAAGGCAAACGTGTGGATTGCCGTCTGAACACCCTCCCGTGCACCCATCCATCCACCTTGTCATCAGGCTGACAGGTCTAAGCCGTGGCACGAGCAGCACTGGGTGAAGGCGAACGTGTGGATTGCCGTCTGAACACCCTCCCGTGCACCCATCCATCCACCTTGTCATCAGGCTGACAGGTCTAAGCCGTGGCACGAGCAGCACTGGGTGAAGGCGAACGTGTGGATTGCCGTCTGAACACCCTCCCGTGCACCCATCCATCCACCTTGTCATCAGGCTGACAGGTCTAAGCCGTGGCACGAGCAGCACTGGGTGAAGGCGAACGTGTGGATTGCCGTCTGAACACCCTCCCGTGCACCCATCCATCCACCTTGTCATCAGGCTGACAGGTCTAAGCCGTGGCACGAGCAGCACTGGGTGAAGGCGAACGTGTGGATTGCCGTCTGAACACCCTCCCGTGCACCCATCCATCCACCTTGTCATCAGGCTGACAGGTCTAAGCCGTGGCACGAGCAGCACTGGGTGAAGGCGAACGTGTGGATTGCCGTCTGAACACCCTCCCGTGCACCCATCCATCCACCTTGTCATCAGGCTGACAGGTCTAAGCCGTGGCACGAGCAGCACTGGGTGAAGGCGAACGTGTGGATTGCCGTCTGAACACCCTCCCGTGCACCCATCCATCCACCTTGTCATCAGGCTGACAGGTCTAAGCCGTGGCACGAGCAGCACTGGGTGAAGGCAAACGTGTGGATTGCCGTCTGAACACCCTCCCGTGCACCCATCCATCCACCTTGTCATCAGGCTGACAGGTCTAAGCCGTGGCACGAGCAGCACTGGGTGAAGGCAAACGTGTGGATTGCCGTCTGAACACCCTCCCGTGCACCCATCCATCCACCTTGTCATCAGGCTGACAGGTCTAAGCCGTGGCACGAGCAGCACTGGGTGAAGGCAAACGTGTGGATTGCCGTCTGAACACCCTCCCGTGCACCCATCCATCCACCTTCTTATCAGGCTGACAGGTCTAAGCCGTGGCACGAGCAGCACTGGGTGAAGGCAAACGTGTGGATTGCCATCTGAACACCCTCCCGTGCACCCATCCATCCACCTTCTTATCAGGCTGACAGGTCTAAGCCGTGGCACGAGCAGCACTGGGTGAAGGCGAACGTGTGGATTGCCGTCTGAACACCCTCCCGTGCACCCATCCATCCACCTTGTCATCAGGCTGACAGGTCTAAGCCGTGGCACGAGCAGCACTGGGTGAAGGCGAACGTGTGGATTGCCGTCTGAACACCCTCCCGTGCACCCATCCATCCACCTTGTCATCAGGCTGACAGGTCTAAGCCGTGGCACGAGCAGCACTGGGTGAAGGCGAACGTGTGGATTGCCGTCTGAACACCCTCCCGTGCACCCATCCATCCACCTTGTCATCAGGCTGACAGGTCTAAGCCGTGGCACGAGCAGCACTGGGTGAAGGCAAACATGTGGATTGCCGTCTGAACACCCTCCCGTGCACCCATCCATCCACCTTGTCATCAGGCTGACAGGTCTAAGCCGTGGCACGAGCAGCACTGGGTGAAGGCGAACGTGTGGATTGCCGTCTGAACACCCTCCCGTGCACCCATCCATCCACCTTGTCATCAGGCTGACAGGTCTAAGCCGTGGCACGAGCAGCACTGGGTGAAGGCGAACGTGTGGATTGCCGTCTGAACACCCTCCCGTGCACCCATCCATCCACCTTGTCATCAGGCTGACAGGTCTAAGCCGTGGCACGAGCAGCACTGGGTGAAGGCGAACGTGTGGATTGCCGTCTGAACACCCTCCCGTGCACCCATCCATCCACCTTGTCATCAGGCTGACAGGTCTAAGCCGTGGCACGAGCAGCACTGGGTGAAGGCGAACGTGTGGATTGCCGTCTGAACACCCTCCCGTGCACCCATCCATCCACCTTGTCATCAGGCTGACAGGTCTAAGCCGTGGCACGAGCAGCACTGGGTGAAGGCGAACGTGTGGATTGCCGTCTGAACACCCTCCCGTGCACCCATCCATCCACCTTGTCATCAGGCTGACAGGTCTAAGCCGTGGCACGAGCAGCACTGGGTGAAGGCAAACGTGTGGATTGCCGTCTGAACACCCTCCCGTGCACCCATCCATCCACCTTGTCATCAGGCTGACAGGTCTAAGCCGTGGCACGAGCAGCACTGGGTGAAGGCGAACGTGTGGATTGCCGTCTGAACACCCTCCCGTGCACCCATCCATCCACCTTGTCATCAGGCTGACAGGTCTAAGCCGTGGCACGAGCAGCACTGGGTGAAGGCGAACGTGTGGATTGCCGTCTGAACACCCTCCCGTGCACCCATCCATCCACCTTGTCATCAGGCTGACAGGTCTAAGCCGTGGCACGAGCAGCACTGGGTGAAGGCGAACGTGTGGATTGCCGTCTGAACACCCTCCCGTGCACCCATCCATCCACCTTGTCATCAGGCTGACAGGTCTAAGCCGTGGCACGAGCAGCACTGGGTGAAGGCAAACGTGTGGATTGCCGTCTGAACACCCTCCCGTGCACCCATCCATCCACCTTGTCATCAGGCTGACAGGTCTAAGCCGTGGCACGAGCAGCACTGGGTGAAGGCAAACGTGTGGATTGCCGTCTGAACACCCTCCCGTGCACCCATCCATCCACCTTGTCATCAGGCTGACAGGTCTAAGCCGTGGCACGAGCAGCACTGGGTGAAGGCGAACGTGTGGATTGCCGTCTGAACACCCTCCCGTGCACCCATCCATCCACCTTGTCATCAGGCTGACAGGTCTAAGCCGTGGCACGAGCAGCACTGGGTGAAGGCGAACGTGTGGATTGCCGTCTGAACACCCTCCCGTGCACCCATCCATCCACCTTGTCATCAGGCTGACAGGTCTAAGCCGTGGCACGAGCAGCACTGGGTGAAGGCGAACGTGTGGATTGCCGTCTGAACACCCTCCCGTGCACCCATCCATCCACCTTGTCATCAGGCTGACAGGTCTAAGCCGTGGCACGAGCAGCACTGGGTGAAGGCGAACGTGTGGATTGCCGTCTGAACACCCTCCCGTGCACCCATCCATCCACCTTGTCATCAGGCTGACAGGTCTAAGCCGTGGCACGAGCAGCACTGGGTGAAGGCGAACGTGTGGATTGCCGTCTGAACACCCTCCCGTGCACCCATCCATCCACCTTGTCATCAGGCTGACAGGTCTAAGCCGTGGCACGAGCAGCACTGGGTGAAGGCAAACGTGTGGATTGCCGTCTGAACACCCTCCCGTGCACCCATCCATCCACCTTGTCATCAGGCTGACAGGTCTAAGCCGTGGCACGAGCAGCACTGGGTGAAGGCGAACGTGTGGATTGCCGTCTGAACACCCTCCCGTGCACCCATCCATCCACCTTGTCATCAGGCTGACAGGTCTAAGCCGTGGCACGAGCAGCACTGGGTGAAGGCGAACGTGTGGATTGCCGTCTGAACACCCTCCCGTGCACCCATCCATCCACCTTGTCATCAGGCTGACAGGTCTAAGCCGTGGCACGAGCAGCACTGGGTGAAGGCAAACGTGTGGATTGCCGTCTGAACACCCTCCCGTGCACCCATCCATCCACCTTGTCATCAGGCTGACAGGTCTAAGCCGTGGCACGAGCAGCACTGGGTGAAGGCAAACGTGTGGATTGCCGTCTGAACACCCTCCCGTGCACCCATCCATCCACCTTGTCATCAGGCTGACAGGTCTAAGCCGTGGCACGAGCAGCACTGGGTGAAGGCGAACGTGTGGATTGCCGTCTGAACACCCTCCCGTGCACCCATCCATCCACCTTGTCATCAGGCTGACAGGTCTAAGCCGTGGCACGAGCAGCACTGGGTGAAGGCGAACGTGTGGATTGCCGTCTGAACACCCTCCCGTGCACCCATCCATCCACCTTGTCATCAGGCTGACAGGTCCAAGCCATGGCACGAGCAGCACTGGGTGAAGGCGAACGTGTGGATTGCCGTCTGAACACCCTCCCGTGCACCCATCCATCCACCTTGTCATCAGGCTGACAGGTCTAAGCCGTGGCACGAGCAGCACTGGGTGAAGGCGAACGTGTGGATTGCCGTCTGAACACCCTCCCGTGCACCCATCCATCCACCTTGTCATCAGGCTGACAGGTCTAAGCCGTGGCACGAGCAGCACTGGGTGAAGGCGAACGTGTGGATTGCCGTCTGAACACCCTCCCGTGCACCCATCCATCCACCTTGTCATCAGGCTGACAGGTCTAAGCCGTGGCACGAGCAGCACTGGGTGAAGGCGAACGTGTGGATTGCCGTCTGAACACCCTCCCGTGCACCCATCCATCCACCTTGTCATCAGGCTGACAGGTCTAAGCCGTGGCACGAGCAGCACTGGGTGAAGGCGAACGTGTGGATTGCCGTCTGAACACCATCCCGTGCACCCATCCATCCACCTTGTCATCAGGCTGACAGGTCCAAGCCATGGCACGAGCAGCACTGGGTGAAGGCGAACGTGTGGATTGCCGTCTGAACACCCTCCCGTGCACCCATCCATCCACCTTGTCATCAGGCTGACAGGTCTAAGCCGTGGCACGAGCAGCACTGGGTGAAGGCGAACGTGTGGATTGCCGTCTGAACACCCTCCCGTGCACCCATCCATCCACCTTGTCATCAGGCTGACAGGTCTAAGCCGTGGCACGAGCAGCACTGGGTGAAGGCGAACGTGTGGATTGCCGTCTGAACACCCTCCCGTGCACCCATCCATCCACCTTGTCATCAGGCTGACAGGTCCAAGCCATGGCACGAGCAGCACTGGGTGAAGGCGAACGTGTGGATTGCCGTCTGAACACCCTCCCGTGCACCCATCCATCCACCTTGTCATCAGGCTGACAGGTCTAAGCCGTGGCACGAGCAGCACTGGGTGAAGGCGAACGTGTGGATTGCCATCTGAACACCCTCCCGTGCACCCATCCATCCACCTTGTCATCAGGCTGACAGGTCTAAGCCGTGGCACGAGCAGCACTGGGTGAAGGCGAACGTGTGGATTGCCGTCTGAACACCCTCCCGTGCACCCATCCATCCACCTTGTCATCAGGCTGACAGGTCTAAGCCGTGGCACGAGCAGCACTGGGTGAAGGCGAACGTGTGGATTGCCGTCTGAACACCCTCCCGTGCACCCATCCATCCACCTTGTCATCAGGCTGACAGGTCTAAGCCGTGGCACGAGCAGCACTGGGTGAAGGCGAACGTGTGGATTGCCGTCTGAACACCCTCCCGTGCACCCATCCATCCACCTTGTCATCAGGCTGACAGGTCCAAGCCGTGGCACGAGCAGCACTGGGTGAAGGCGAACGTGTGGATTGCCGTCTGAACACCCTCCCGTGCACCCATCCATCCACCTTGTCATCAGGCTGACAGGTCTAAGCCGTGGCACGAGCAGCACTGGGTGAAGGCGAACGTGTGGATTGCCGTCTGAACACCCTCCCGTGCACCCATCCATCCACCTTGTCATCAGGCTGACAGGTCTAAGCCGTGGCACGAGCAGCACTGGGTGAAGGCGAACGTGTGGATTGCCGTCTGAACACCCTCCCGTGCACCCATCCATCCACCTTGTCATCAGGCTGACAGGTCTAAGCCGTGGCACGAGCAGCACTGGGTGAAGGCGAACGTTCTGATTGCCGTCTGAACACCCTCCCGTGCACCCATCCATCCACCTTGTCATCAGGCTGACAGGTCTAAGCCGTGGCACGAGCAGCACTGGGTGAAGGCGAACGTGTGGATTGCCGTCTGAACACCCTCCCGTGCACCCATCCATCCACCTTGTCATCAGGCTGACAGGTCTAAGCCGTGGCACGAGCAGCACTGGGTGAAGGCGAACGTGTGGATTGCCGTCTGAACACCCTCCCGTGCACCCATCCATCCACCTTGTCATCAGGCTGACAGGTCTAAGCCGTGGCACGAGCAGCACTGGGTGAAGGCGAACGTTCTGATTGCCGTCTGAACACCCTCCCGTGCACCCATCCATCCACCTTGTCATCAGGCTGACAGGTCTAAGCCGTGGCACGAGCAGCACTGGGTGAAGGCAAACGTGTGGATTGCCGTCTGAACACCCTCCCGTGCACCCATCCATCCACCTTGTCATCAGGCTGACAGGTCTAAGCCGTGGCACGAGCAGCACTGGGTGAAGGCGAACGTGTGGATTGCCGTCTGAACACCCTCCCGTGCACCCATCCATCCACCTTGTCATCAGGCTGACAGGTCTAAGCCGTGGCACGAGCAGCACTGGGTGAAGGCGAACGTGTGGATTGCCGTCTGAACACCCTCCCGTGCACCCATCCATCCACCTTGTCATCAGGCTGACAGGGCTAAGCCGTGGCACGAGCAGCACTGGGTGAAGGCGAACGTGTGGATTGCCGTCTGAACACCCTCCCGTGCACCCATCCATCCACCTTGTCATCAGGCTGACAGGTCTAAGCCGTGGCACGAGCAGCACTGGGTGAAGGCGAACGTGTGGATTGCCGTCTGAACACCCTCCCGTGCACCCATCCATCCACCTTGTCATCAGGCTGACAGGTCTAAGCCGTGGCACGAGCAGCACTGGGTGAAGGCGAACGTGTGGATTGCCGTCTGAACACCCTCCCGTGCACCCATCCATCCACCTTGTCATCAGGCTGACAGGTCTAAGCCGTGGCACGAGCAGCACTGGGTGAAGGCGAACGTGTGGATTGCCGTCTGAACACCCTCCCGTGCACCCATCCATCCACCTTGTCATCAGGCTGACAGGTCTAAGCCGTGGCACGAGCAGCACTGGGTGAAGGCGAACGTGTGGATTGCCGTCTGAACACCCTCCCGTGCACCCATCCATCCACCTTGTCATCAGGCTGACAGGTCTAAGCCGTGGCACGAGCAGCACTGGGTGAAGGCGAACGTGTGGATTGCCGTCTGAACACCCTCCCGTGCACCCATCCATCCACCTTGTCATCAGGCTGACAGGTCTAAGCCGTGGCACGAGCAGCACTGGGTGAAGGCGAACGTGTGGATTGCCGTCTGAACACCCTCCCGTGCACCCATCCATCCACCTTGTCATCAGGCTGACAGGTCTAAGCCGTGGCACGAGCAGCACTGGGTGAAGGCGAACGTGTGGATTGCCGTCTGAACACCCTCCCGTGCACCCATCCATCCACCTTGTCATCAGGCTGACAGGTCTAAGCCGTGGCACGAGCAGCACTGGGTGAAGGCGAACGTGTGGATTGCCGTCTGAACACCCTCCCGTGCACCCATCCATCCACCTTGTCATCAGGCTGACAGGTCTAAGCCGTGGCACGAGCAGCACTGGGTGAAGGCGAACGTGTGGATTGCCGTCTGAACACCCTCCCGTGCACCCATCCATCCACCTTGTCATCAGGCTGACAGGTCTAAGCCGTGGCACGAGCAGCACTGGGTGAAGGCGAACGTGTGGATTGCCGTCTGAACACCCTCCCGTGCACCCATCCATCCACCTTGTCATCAGGCTGACAGGTCCAAGCCATGGCACGAGCAGCACTGGGTGAAGGCGAACGTGTGGATTGCCGTCTGAACACCCTCCCGTGCACCCATCCATCCACCTTGTCATCAGGCTGACAGGTCCAAGCCATGGCACGAGCAGCACTGGGTGAAGGCGAACGTGTGGATTGCCGTCTGAACACCCTCCCGTGCACCCATCCATCCACCTTGTCATCAGGCTGACAGGTCTAAGCCGTGGCACGAGCAGCACTGGGTGAAGGCGAACGTGTGGATTGCCGTCTGAACACCCTCCCGTGCACCCATCCATCCACCTTGTCATCAGGCTGACAGGTCTAAGCCGTGGCACGAGCAGCACTGGGTGAAGGCGAACGTGTGGATTGCAATCTTCAGCTTCGTTGGCAACTACTTCTGGACGCACTATTTCTACACGCTGCTAGGGGCGTCGTATACTTTCCCCTCCTGGCGCCTCAATGATGTGAGTTCCCCCTCGCATTGCTTCTCTTTCGTCTAAGAAGGGCTTCATAGCCTTCTCATCTTCAGCTTCGTGGGGAACTACTTCTGGACACACTACTTCTACACGCTGCTGGGTGCTTCCTATACTTTTCCCTCCTGGCGCCTCAATGATGTGAGTTCCTGTTCCTTTCCCTCCTTCCTTCCTTCAAGGCGACTCAACGATGTGAGTTCCGTTCACTGATGTGGGTTCTCTTTGCACTGCTTCTCTCGCTTATGAAGAAGGGTTTTGAGACGTCTCAAAACCCTTCTTCATACACATTCACTGATGTGGGTTCTCTTTGCGCTGCTTCTCTCGCTTCCAAAAGTCTCTATGAAATTCCCATCTTCAGCTTCGTGTGTGGAACTAACCACCTCTACTCGCTGCTCTGGGCTTCATATACTTTCCCCTCCTTGTGCCTCAACAATGCGGGTTCCCTCTTTCAACCACTCTGAACCGCACTACTCTTCACCGTTTCTGTTGCTGCTCTGCCATCGCCCTCTGCTCCTGCGCCCACACGCACATGCAGTCGCCTTTGCTCTTTACCTCCTCACCCCACACTCACGTGCAAGTTCCTCTTATCCACCATTCACGTCTCGTCGATTCAATAACACACGAGTCGATGGAAGTAAGACCCCCGCAGCCCACCTGTCTGCTACTGACAGCACCTCCTCACCCCACACTCACGTGCAGGTTCCTGTTATCCACAATTCCCCCACCCACTCTCACTGATCCGCAGGTGCCCTTTGCGCTCCACCTGCTCACCCATACCTACTTCTTCTGCTTCTCTCTGCCATTCCCTTCCGTCTCTCTGCCCCACTCTCACCCGCGGGCTGCAGGTGCCCTTTGCGCTCTACCTCCTCACCCACGCCTACTTCTGCTTCTATCACGTCATCTCCAACATCACCCTCCGCCGCCTCCGCCACTTCCTCAACACCCCCTCGCACACTCCCTCCCCCTCCGTGAACCCTAAATCCACTCATTCAAAAAATTCCAAGCTTTCCTCCTCCTCCTCCCCCTCCTCCTCCCCCTCATCCGCGTCTCGCTCGTCAGTGTTCTCCCTCGTTGTGCAAGGGGCGTGGGTGCTCGCTCTGGCTTACATCACAGCATTCATGGAGACCGCAACCATTGCAAATGTGAGACTTGGGTATCTGTCCTGTTTTCTGAGCAGTAAATGCCTGTAGTCCAGGGGGCGTGGGTGGCTCCCTGTGCTCGTCTCTTCGGTGTTCTCCCTCGTTGTGCAAGGGGCGTGGGTGCTCGCTCTGGCTTACATCACAGCATTCATGGAGACCGCAACCATTGCAAACGTGAGACTTGGGACTTGAAATCCGAGACTTTATCAGCGTCTGTTATCTAACCAGCAGATGTTGTAATGCAAGGAGAGCGGGTGCTTGCACTTGCTTTCATAACAGCATTCAAGGAGTCCGCAGCCATTGCAAACGTGAGACTTTGAACTTGCGACTTTGCCATTGGCTGACTTTGGAGCAGTAAATGCTTGTAGTCCAGGGTTTGTAGGTGCGAGCTCTGCTCTTGCGTACATCACAGCATATATGGAGGCAGCTACTGCCGACTCAAAAGTCGAGGTGACTTTTGAGTGGACTCAAAAGTCACTTTGGAGCAGTAAATGCTTGTAGTCCAGGGTTTATAGGTGTGTGCTCGGCTCTTGCGTACATCACAGCATTTACGAAGGCAGCTTTTGAGAGGTCTCAAAAACACTCTTATTCTACGTGACTTTGGAGCAGTAAATGCTTGTAGTCCAGGGTTTATAGGTGCGTGCTCTTGCGTACATCACATCACAGCATTTACGAAGGCAGCTACTATAGCAAACATAAGGCTTGATCTGAGGCACCTCAAAAGCACGCGTGCTATTGCCTACATCCATCCACAGCATTCACTCTCACTTCCCTCCCTCACCCCATCAGTTCGAGCACCACACCTTTGTGGACAAGGCAACCATGTATCGAGTCAGCTTTTGCTGATAGGCCTCAAAGCACACCCTACCTCTGCACCTCCCCTCTCCTCCTCACCTCACCCCATCAGTTTGAGTACTACACCTTTGTGGACAAGGCAGCCATGTATTGAGTCAGCTTTTGCTGAGTGGGATTTAAACACAATCTCTTTCTCTCCACCTCTCCATCTCCCTCACCCCATCAGTTTGAGTACTACACCTTTGTGGACAAGGCAGCCATGTATTGAGGCACAAACTCCTTTTCCTACACTAAATCACCATCCCTCCTTGCATCCCTTCCAATCCCTCCTTCCCCATCAGTTCGAGTACTACGCCTTTGTGGACAAGGCAGCCATGTATTGAGGCACAAACTCCTTTTCCTACACTAAATCACCATCCCTCCTCGCATCCCTTCCAATCCCTCCTTCCCCATCAGTTCGAGTACTACGCCTTTGTGGACAAGGCAGCCATGTATTGAGGCACAAACTCCTTTTCCTACACTAAATCACCATCCCTCCTCGCATCCCTTCCAATCCCTCCTTCCCCATCAGTTCGAGTACTACACCTTTGTGGACAAGGCAGCCATGTACCGGGTCGGCACGCTCTTCTACGCGCTCTACTTCGTCGTCAGCTTCCCCTTCTTCTTCCGGTGCGTGCATGTTGGGGGTGCTTGCGTGTGAACGTGTGGGTGCGTGTGGGTGTGCAAATTCTCCATCTCTGTGCTGCCATGTACCGCGTCGGCACGCTCCTCTACGCCCTCTACTTTGTTGTCAGCTTTCCCTTCTTCTTCCGGTGCGCGTGTACATGTTTGGGTGTATATGCGTGAGTGCATATGTGCATGTGTGGATATATGTGCATGTGCGTGCATACGTGCATATGTGCTTGCGTGGAAGCACACATAAGCGTGGGTGTGAAAATCAATGGAAATTCACCCTCCTCACCCCTCTTTCCTTTCTCTCCCATTTCGGAATTGGTGATAGCAATCTCAAGTGGCAGTGGATTCGTTGGTTCCCACCCCTCTACTCCCCTCTTCCTTCCTCTCCTCTCCTCTCCTCTTCCCCCCTCACCTCTCTCCTCCCCGCCCCTCCCCTTCACTCCTCTCCTTTCTGTTCTCCTTCAGGATTTACGAGCACCCATCAGACAGCTGGCCTCTTTCTCGAGTAGCAGTAGACTCAAAAACCTCACCTCCTCTCCTTACATTTCCCCTTGTCCAGAATCGACGAGCACCCATCGGACAGTTGGCCTCTCTCTCGAGTGGCAGTGGACTCCCTCGGAGCATCCATGCTGGTAACCATACTCATCTCCTCTCCTTGTCTTTCGTCTTTCCCCTCATCTGCCTCCCTCTCCTCTCCATTCCCCCTTCCAGAATCGACGAGCACCCATCGGACAGCTGGCCTCTCTCCCAAGTGGCAGTGGACTCGCTGGGAGCACCCATGCTGGTTACTACTTCCAACCCCATTAACTCCCTCCCTCCTCCCCTCCTCCCCTTCTTCCCTCCTCCCCTCCCAATCATCCCTTCCAGAATCGACGAGGATCCATCAGACAGCTGGCCTCTCTCCCGGGTAGCAGTGGACTCTCTCGGAGCATCCCTTCGAGTCGACCCAAACTCCTCACCTCTCCTTTCGCCTCCCCTTCTTTCATTTTCCCTTCTTCAGAATCGACGAGGATCCATCAGACAGCTGGCCTCTCTCCCGGGTGGCAGTGGACTCCCTGGGAGCATCCATGCTGGTTACCATACTTCTCGACATCTGGCGCCTTGTGATTGGCCCAATCATCCAGCTGCCACAGAACAACACATGCGCATCTGGCCTCCCCTGGATGGGGTAGTGTATTTATACAATACTACATTTACAGAGCAAGCTGAAGGAGAACAGGGCAAGGAAAGCCTGTCAAGTGTGGAGCCCTTGGGTTGGGTGCCTCAAATGAACCAACCACCACCCTGATGCCCGCTGCTCTGCGAAGCTAACAGGTACTACCACTGTTGGCCTTTTATATTATTATCTTACCGTATGTGGTCATTAATCAATGCATACTCGAGCAGGATTGTAAGATAACATCCCTACAGCTCCCATAAAGGCTCCTTGCTACCACCAGTGCAAACAAGTGCTGCCGCCGCTGCCGCCTTTTTTAGGCACCTCAAGAGAGGCCACTTGATGTAAACAACACAGACAAATGTTGCCACCCATATAGTAGCTGCGATTAACATAGGTGTATGGAACAATGGCGTCCATACCGTCACATCAATATGGGTCAACTCAAGTCCATTAACTACCATACCGTCACATCAATATGGGTCAACTCAAGTCCATTAACTACCATACCGTCACATCAATATGGGTCAACTCAAGTCCATTAACTACCATACCGTCACATCAATATGGGTCAACTCAAGTCCATTAACTACCATACCGTCACATCAATATGGGTCAACTCAAGTCCATTAACTACCATACCGTCACATCAATATGGGTCAACTCAAGTCCATTAACTACCATACCGTCACATCAATATGGGTCAACTCAAGTCCATTAACTACCATACCGTCACATCAATATGGGTCAACTCAAGTCCATCAACTACCATACCAGCCTAACTGTGAACGAGCTTCGTACTAGATCTAGGTACCTAGTGGGCGCTGCTCCTCCCACATGACACCTTTCTTCCAATCCAAGCCTATCCAAGCTCTTCACTGCACCCATTCAGCAGCACTTCCCTATGCTGAAGAATGCCGGCTTTAAAGCCGCAGTCCTTCCTACGCTCTCGGCTATGTGGGCAGCAGCCGCGCGTCAGCACCGCCTGACAGCTACACTTCCTCCAGAGGACTCTGGAGGAAGACAGCCGCCCGCCAGCACCGCCTGACAGCTACACTTTTTGAGGACTCCCTAAACTCCTACACATATTCCCATCGCTAAACCCTCTCTGCTGCCTGCCCATGCTCGTCCCTGTGCTGTTCTGCAGAATGTCCGACTCAAAACCAGAGTCCTACACTCTCGGCTGCACAGGCACCGCTTGACAGCTACACTTCCAGAGTCCTCAAACTTTTATGTGTATCCCCATCGCACTACACTGTCTGCTGGCTGCCCATACTCGTCCCTGTGCTACAGAATGTCCGATTCAAAGCCCCTCCTCCCCCCGCAGGACTGCTTTGCTGCGGAACACTATCAGCCACAGATATGTCCGCCTCCCCCATTGCGGAACACTATCAGGCCTCTTACTCGTATCCCCACCGCACTACACTGTCTGCTGCCTGCCCATACTCATCCCTGTGCTGCAGAATGTCCGATTCAAAGCCCCTCCTCCCCCCGCAGGACTGCTTTGCTGCCACGAATATATCGGCCCTGGCGATTACAAGCTTGTCGAGGATGGACACGATGCCTGTCGGGGAGAGACATAGAGGAAGGGCAGGGAGGAAAGAGAGAGGGGAACGACAGGGGGGAAAGGGATCTGAGTGGGGTAGCTCAGGTGCTGTGAGCCCGCAGTACCGCTCTGCTGCCACGAATATATCCGCCTTGGCGATCACAAGCTTGTCCAGGATCGACACGATGCCTGGAAGGGAGAGACGGGGTGGAGGAACAGGGGTGAAGAGGGATTGGGTGAGGTAGCTTGAGTGCTGCGAGCCGGCAGTGCCACTCTGCTGCCACGAATATATCCGCCTTGGCGATTACAAGCTTGTCGAGGATCGACACGATGCCTGGAAGGCGGAGGGCAGAGAGAGAGCGAGGACAGGGAGGAAGAGGGGGTGGGTGAGTTAGCTCGGGTGCTATGACCTCGTCAATCATCACCGTTCCCCCCACGTGCTGCCGGAGCCATCTCAGCGCTCCCCTGGACGCCCTCCCCGTGTACTTTCGCCCCATCCACCGCTCCCATTGAGGTGTATTTTGAGGCGCCTCAAAATACACCTCAGTGCTGCCGGAGTCATCTTAACGCTCCCCTGGACGCCCTCCCCGTGTACTTTCGCCCCATCCACCGCTCCCATTGAGGTGTATTTTGAGGCGCCTCAAAATACACCTCAGTGCTGCCGGAGCCATCTTAACGCTCCCCTGGACGCCCTCCCCGTGTTCTTTCGCCCCATCCACCGCTCCATGCTCCAGGTTCAGGGGTTCGGGTTTAAAATGAAGGGTTTCGGGTTTAGGGTCCAAATTCAGGGTTTAGGAGTTCGGGTTGAGACTCTGCCCTGTCCTCACTCAAGCCCCCACCCACCTGGGTCATAGCCGTTGACAGCAGGCACAACCTCGTCAATCATGACCGTGTCGTGCCCCCCACGTGCTGCCGGAGCCATCTCAGCGCTCCCCTGGACGTCCTTCCCGTGTTCTCCTGCCACATCCACTGCTCCATGCTCCATGTTTAGGGTTTCGGGTTTAAGTTTCACCCACCTGGGTCATAGTCGTTGACAGCAGGCACAACCTCGTCAATCATGACCGTGTCGTGCCCCCCACGTGCTGCCGGAGCCATCTCAGCGCTCCCCTGGACGTCCTTCCCATGTTCTCCCGCCCCATCCACTGCTCCATGCTCCATGTTTAGGGTTTCGGGTTTAAGTTTCACCCACCTGGGTCATAGCCGTTGACAGCAGGCACAACCTCGTCAATCATGACCGTGTCGTGCCCCCCACGTGCTGCCGGAGCCATCTCAGCGCTCCCCTGGACGTCCTTCCCATGTTCTCCCGCCCCATCCACTGCTCCATGCTCCATGTTTAGGGTTTCGGGTTTAAGTTTCACCCACCTGGGTCATAGCCGTTGACGGCGGGCACGACCTCATCAATCATGACCGTGCCCCCCACGTGCTACCTGAGCCATCTCAGCGCTCCCCCAAGCCCACACCCACACCCACTCCCACTCACACACCACAATTTACCTGGGTCATAGCCGTTAACAGCGGGCATGACCTCATCAATCATGACCGTCCCCTCCACGTGCTTCCTCAACCATCTCAGCGCTCCCCTGGACGCCCTTCCCGTGTTCTTTCGTCCCAGCCACAGCTCCATTGCCTTCCATGACTCTGACCGCGGCTGGACTGCAGCCGATGCATTGAACGGGATGTCTGCCGCTATGAACACCGTCGGCCCTTCTACGGCTTGCCCTAACCAACCAAACCCAACCGCACTCAACCACACCCAACCGCACCCAACCGTACCCAACCGCACCCAACCGCACCCAACCGCACCCACCTGGGTCATAGCCGTTGACAGCAGGCACGACCTCATCGATCATCACCGTCCCCTCCACGTGCTGCCTCAACCATTTCAACGCTCCTCTAGACGCCCGCCCTGTGTTCTCCCGCCCCAGCCACACCTCCATGCTCCTCCACGACTCAGATCGTGGCTGGACTGCAGCCGATGCATTGAACGGGATGTCTGCTGCTATGAACACCGTCGGCCCTTCCACGACTTGCCCTAACCCGTTGATCAATGGCTCTTCCCGCTCCTGCTGCTCCTGTTGCTCCTGCTTCTGTCCCTGCTTCCCCTGCTTCGGCTCCTGAACCTGCTCCTGCCACTGCTGTTGTTTCTGCTGGGTTTGCAGCTTTTTCCTGACTTGGTTGATTTTTCTTGCTGCCCCCTGCACACACGCTGCCATCTGCTGCCGCAGATTATGCTGCACCTCCTTCCAGGTCAAGTTGGCGTTCATGCCTTGCGCCTGGGAAAGGGAAGCAGAGAGAGGATGGGAATCAGGCAGGAGGGAACGAGAGAGAGGAGGGCAATCAGAGAGAAGAGAAAGATCAGCAAAACTCAAAGAACCCACCCCTGCATTGTTTGTACTTTATATAAAACTCAACGAAGGACTGCTTGAGAGAAAAATCAGCAACGAAAAACAGCACTTGAGGTGGCGTCTGCGGTTGCTTCAGTGGCTCAACTCTCAAACCAATGGCCACCTTTCCAGTTCAGACAGCAAGTCTCCTGAGGTACATACCCCCACATTCCAGTCAAGACGTCCCATGGGTGCATCATACATACCACGTTCCAGGCGATGAACTAGGAGCGGAAATGAACGCCTATGACCGGCTTGCACAGTCAAGGAGAGTAACTCACCAGCACAGGGCAACTGCCATGCTCCAGTCAAGACGTCCCGTGCGTGCATCATACATACCACGTTCCAGGCGATGAACTCGGAGCGGAAATGAACGCCTATGACGGGCTTGGGTAGCCTTGCGATGATCTGTGCAGCGGTGTCGTGCCACGTGGCCCGGTATGGCAGCACTGCGGGCACAATCACGTCTGTGCGTGGCACATACTGGATGCGCTGGTAGGTTGTCTTCATCCACACCACCACGTCCCTGTCACTCCTGCATGCACGGTACAAAGAGGTGCAGGCAGGGACACGTGAATGCACACGGTTAGCAATCACGTCTGTGCGTGGCACGTACTGGATGCGCTGGTATGTGGTTTTCATCCACACCACCACGTCCCTGTCACTCCTGCAGGCAGAGACGCGCAGGCAGGGGCAGGCACACACACATAGGAGCGCACACACAGGGGTCACAACCACGTCTGTCCGGGGGCAGGCACACGTATTCAATGCGCTGGAAGGCTGTTTTCATCCACACCACCACGTCCCTGTCACTCCTGTGTGAAACTTGATATTAGAGACGTTCTTGAACCAAACATGCGTGGGGGGGCATATTGAAGTTGTCCCTAGACTGGTCATGCGTGGAGGGGCATGGTGAAGTTGTCCTTAGGCTGATCATGCGTGGAGAAGAATAAACATGAACTTCCTAGACTGACCATGCGTGGAGGAGCATGCTAGAGACGTCCTTGGACTGACCATGCGTGGAGGAGCATATTAAAGACGTCCTTAGACTGACCATGCATGGAGAAGCATACCAAACACGTTTTTAGACTGATCATGCGTGGAGGAGCATGTTAAAGACGTCCTTAGACTGACCATGCGTGGAGGAGCATGTTAAAGACGTTTTTAGACTGAGGAGCATACCAAAGACGTTTTTAGACTGAGGAGCATACCAAAGACGTTCTTAGACTGACCATGCGTGGAGGAGCATATTAAAGACGTCCTTAGACTGCGGCATCTTGACGTCGATGGTGTTGCTGGGCACAGGCACGTGCCCCATGGCGAACGTCAGAATCTGCCTCAGTATCTCCACTAGCTCCCCTGCACGATGCAGCATCACACAAAGAGAAACAAGTAATCAAATACGTGGCACCGTGACGGGGCACGTGAACCATGGCGAATGTCAGCACCTGCCCCAAGATCTCCACTAGCTCTTCTGCACGATAATCGATGCATGGGGTTGAGGAAGGCGGCACGGGCAGTGAGGTGGAAGAACTCCGGCAACACCCACTCCACCCGGGAGAAGTGCGAGAGGTCCCCACACCGCTCAAACCTCCCCCCTCTAAACCCCTCCAAACCCGAAACCCGAAACCCTTAACCCCGAAACCCAGAAACGCGCCCAGTCCACCCGGGAGAAGCGCGAGAGTTAAAATCAGCAGTTTACCACCCCACATGCTCCCAACTCACGGAACTTGAAGCAGGGCCGGTGCAGAAAGTCCGTTTTGACGCACACGAATCCCACGGAGGGGTTGAGGAAGGCGGCACGGGCAGTGAGGAGGAAGAACTCGGGGGACACCCACTCCACCCGGGAGAAGCGCGAGAGGTCCCAGTAGGAGCACACGGCGTGCTGGCGGGCCACTGATAGACGGCTGCAGTCCGCCTGGAAGGGAGGAAAGGGGGAGAAAGAGGGAGAAGGGGGTAATGCATGATGGGTAACGCACTTCAAGAAGCGCGAGAGGTCCCAGTAGGAGCAGATGGCATGCTCGCTAGCCACTGATAGACGGCTGCAGTCAGCCTGGAAGGGGGAAGAAGAGGGGGGAAAGGGGATGACGGGCGTAACGTGTGATGATGGGTCCAGGTGATTAAAGAAGCGCGAGAGGTCCCAGTAGGAGCGCACTGCATTTGGCGGGCCACTGATAGACGGCTGCAGTCCGCCTGGAAGGGAGGGAAGGGGAAGCGGGGGAAGGGGAGGGGAGTGGGGGCGGGGGGAAGAAGGGGGGAAGGTTAACGTTAGGTCCAGTAGGAGCGGCGTTCTGGCGCGCCAACCACCCATCAATGAAAAGGAGATCCTAGCCTAAGCGACAAAAACGGCCACCCAGGGCGTGTATCGATCAGGAGGACCCACCTTGGGCAGCACGAGGATGCGCCCGGATTCCTCTGCCACGCGAGCAGCCTCCGCCAGGTGCGTTCTGGCGTTGCTCATCTGCTCCATGGTCAGCGCCACCACCAGGTACTTGCGCCGAGGGAAGTCCTGCAAGGGTAAAGAGGGGAGAAAGAAGGTGTGCAGTGCGGTGGGTGGCGGTGGGAGTGAGACTGGGTGTGGGTGGCGTTGCTCATCTGCTCCATGGTCAGCGCCACCACCAGGTACTTGCGCCGAGGGAAGTCCTGCGAGGGCAAAGAGGGGAGATGGAAGGAGTGGAGTCCGGTGGGAGGGTGTGGTTGTGGGTGGCGTTGCTCATCTGCTCCATGGTCAGCGCCACCACCAGGTACTTGCGCCGAGGGAAGTCCTGTGAGGGCAAAGAGGGGAGATGGAAGGAGTGGAGTCCGGTGGGAGGGTGTGGTTGTGGGTGGCGTTGCTCATCTGCTCCATGGTCAACGCCACCACCAGGTACTTGCGCCGAGAGAAGTCCTGCAAGGGTAAAGAGGGGAGATGGAAGGAGTGGGGTACAGTACGTGGGTGTGGGTGTGGGTGTGCGTGGCGTTGCTCATCTGCTCCATTGTGAACGCCACCACCAGGTACTTGCGCCGAGGGAAGTCCTGCAAGGGTAAAGAGGGGAGAAAGAAGGTGTGCAGTGCGGTGGGTGGCGGTGGGAGTGAGACTGGGTGTGGGTGGCGTTGCTCATCTGCTCCCTGGTCAGCGCCACCACCAGGTACTTGCGCCGAGGGAGGTCCTGCAAGGGAGAGGGAAAAGGAGGAGTGGAGTTCGGTGCGTGGGTGTGGGTGTGGGTGCGGGTCTAGGGTTTTGCGTGGCGTTGCTCATCTAATCCATGGTGAGTCCCATGTGTCTGGGAAGAAGCTAGGGAAGGGGGAGCGGGGAGGGATTCGAAGATAGAATTAGACACGCTCCGGAGTTGCATGGCAGCGTTCCTAATCTGCTCCGTGCTTCCAGCTAGGTTGTGGTTTAGAGAGGGGGGGGGGAGCGGCTTGCCAGAAGTTCAGGTGGTAACCAACAACTCTCACAACTCTCTATAAGATTCTGAGACCAGACCACGCCGAAAATCAACGAAAAAACGTGACTCTCATTTCTCAGAGATGCAACGTACACTGAGATAGGAGAACGGCACGTGGCAGCGACCTCTCCACCTGTCGCATACGGTCGCACACTTCCGTCACCCCCTCGGATATGTTTTTAGCACTAACTCTTCCCGCGTTGAACGCCTGTATCAGGTGATTCTTGCTGGTAACCCGACGTAACAAGTCTTGGTGCCACCTTCGGCTGCATAGCACGCCGAGTCCGTCATTCTGACGCTGCTCCACCTCGGAATAATCCGGATTAGACTCTTCCTGTAACCGCCGTCCTTTGCGGCCGCTAGTTGATGCATTTAACGGAGCTGAATAATCAACAGCGGTTGCACCGGTGTCACTTTCGTGGCTATTGTCGGTAGACTTCTCGCTGACACTGCTGGCTCCCCTAATGCTATCCTCGCGGCCGCTGCTAGTTCCATTTAAAAGGAGATTCTTCCTGCTGCTGCTGCTGCTGCTGCTGCTGGCATTGTCGCTACTCGTGTCGTCGCTACTGCTGCTGGTTCTGCTACTGGTGTTAGCACTGGTCTTTCCCGTGATACCATTTCCGGTACCAGGTTCGAGCGAGAAGAGACGATTCGCCTCGGCTTCTCTAGCAGCAGCACGCCGAGCCCATTCCTTGAACGCAGCGCACGCGCTGGCTTGACAAGGCTCCACCAGCCCTGACAGCTTATCCCTCGTTACCTTAGTAATGAAATGCGATCTCATTGTTCTCATACAAGACTTCGACATGTTAAGGGTTAGGTTAACGGATCGTGGGGCTGTGACGTAGATCGTTACAGGAAGATTTTCTCTATCGACAGAGCTTAGCAAAGAGAGAATTTCAGCTGAGACGCTACCTGCCGGTTGTCCCCCTTGCAGCATCACTCGGAAACCGCATAATAGTAAGACGAGGGTAAAAAATAACAGAATCCTTGTAGCCGTTTGGAAGGATACGATCCTGGCCGAATGTAGGTTATGCCGACGAGAGCTTGAAAACGGGGACGCGACGGGAGTGCTTCGTAAAAGCCCTCTGCATTCTTTCTCTTGCTCCACCAACTGCTCCTCCGCCACACCCATTGCAGGTGGCGGCTTTAAAGTCTAACTACTACTCCTTTTCGAGTGGTATAACTTAACTCAACACGGAGTGTTATGTGTGGGACATACTAACCACTACAATAAGGCTAAAAAGCGCGTTGGGATATGCACAATATGTGCAAGTACGTGTCTAATCGTCAGCTCCGACCAGGACAGCTGAGCAAGTTAATCAAAAACCGGTTTTCCAGAAGCGGTACTTGACGGCAGCGCAGAGTGCGGAGTGCATTCTGTCACAAACGTGGCGGCATGATCGAGGAGGGCCTTCTCGAGCTACGATAAACCCATTCCAAGAAGCTCGGTTTCTGCAGCAAGCCAGAGAAGTGTGTGAGAGGGAAAATTCTCCTAGAAACTCAGAATGTCTGGTCTAGATCCTGAGCAGCAATAGCTTATGCAACTGTTTCCGTTGCCTGCTGTCTTGCGTGTTCGATGAGCTCACTACAAAATCCATATGACTACTGGCCTACACGTTCCTGTATTGGGTAAGCATCAGGCATCGGACTGACAGAGGAGATTCCTCCCCTGGCGCGACTGGACGGAAGGTAGGTGATACATGGAGACACAACGGTAATCACGCGATCAGCTGGGATCGCCTGATCAGCGGATAAGCACAAGCGCAACATTTCGGTCGGGAGAGTCTGGTTCTTACGGAACTCTCGATACTTGCGAAGTTGCTAGCCTCTCGATGCACGCGAAACTCTCGACTCGATGCTCACGACAAACCTGTCCATGATCACGTAATTCACTTGATGCTCGCGAAACTTTCGAGATTGTCGAGAACAAAGATGTGTTCCTTCTGACAGTGTTCGAAACCTCCTGGGAGCGAAAATTCCCGCTTCTTCGCTGCCCAGTCAGTGGAGCTTTGGGCGCCACGCCCACTCCTGGGTGTCAGTAGCTTGACGCTTTTCTCAAAGTCTACTGGTTGACGTAAGCGGCCGAATCGCTGCTTCTGACATCCAGTCCAACCCGAGATGAAACTGTGTACAATGCAGGCTGTCACAGTAACAAATACCTTGTTATAGAAGGACCTAATAATCAAGTCACAAGTCTTCATCTAGGCTAATTAGGAACAAACTATTTTAGCTGATTCACCTTAATTTTATGCATCTATTCTGGAACATTTGCTTATTATCCAGAATGTGTTCCTGAAAAATGGACATTTGATTGAACCCTTTTATTTATATTATTTGCTAATTCAACTTTCGTTTGAGACAATGCGTTGATTGCTTTGCATTAATATGTGATCGAATTGAAGTAACGTGCTTGAGCGTAGCGGAAGGCTCTATATTAGGTTTATTCGCAATCGTGCAGCAGGAAACGGTCATTCAGAGGTACCTCTCTTGGAGTACATAGCTAGCTATAACTATGCATTCCAATGTATGCAACGTTACTTGTCAAACTGTATGTTTGTGTTCTCTCTAGGCTGTAGTGGGTTAGCCTACAAGGGGTACAACACTTTAGGGTTAGGTACTTGTACTCATGCATGCTACGTAGTCAACCATTCCTACCTGCTTATTCTAACATGGTATTAGAGCAGAATCATTCCTAGGGCCCACCGAACGTTCCGCCCTGCCCTACCCGTAAATTTTCTTCCTACGCTGCCCCTGCAGCCACACTGCTATTGCAGCCTGCGCACTGCCCCTGCGACCACGCTGCCCCTGCAGCCGTGCTCGCACCTGCGACCGCTCAACCTCTGCAGCCGTCCTCGCCCCTGCGACCGCGCTGCCTCTGCAGCCGTGCTCGCCCCTGCGACCGTGCTGCCCCTGCAGCCGTGCTCGCCCTTGCGACCGTGCTGCCCCTGCAGTCGTACTCGCCCCTGCGACCGTGCTGCCCCTGCAGCCGTACTCGCCCCTGCGACCGTGCTGCTCCTGCAGCCGTGCCTGCCCCTGTGGCCCGCGCGCTGCCCCTGCAGCCCGTGCGTCGCCCCTGCAGCCCGCGCGCCGCCCTCTGCCGAGCCGCGCGTCGCCCCTGCAGCCAGCGCGTCGCCCCTGCAGCCCGTGCGCGCTGCCCCTGCAGCCCGCGCGCCGCCCTGCTGAGCCGCGCGTCGCCCCTGCAGCCCGCGCACCGCCCTGCCGGGCCGCGCGTCGCCCCTGCAGCCCGCGTGCCGCCCGGCCGAGCCGCGCGTCGCCCCTGCAGCTCGTGCGCGCCGCCCCTGCAGCACGCGCGCCGCCCTGCCGAGCCGCGCCGCCCAGCCCGAGCCGCGCCGCCCAGGCCGAGCCGCGCCGCCCTACTACTACAACTGCTGCTGCTGCTGCTCGTTCTACTGCTGCTGCTGGTGGAGGTGCTGCTGGGAGTACTGGAGGTACGGCCGCCCACCCCCCCCGAGCCGCCTCGCTGCTGCTACTACTGCTGCTACTGGTTGAGGTGCTGCTGGGGAGTACTGGAGGTGCGGCCGCCCAGCCCCACTGAGCCGCCCTGTTGCTGCTACTACTGCTGCTGCTGCTACTCGTGCTACTGCTGCTGCTGGTGGAGGTGCTACTGGGAGTGCTGGAGGTGCTGCTGGTGCTGGAGGAGCCGGAGGTGCTGGACCTCCTCCTGACCGTCACTGTCTGTCATGGCCACTCTCGCGGCAGTTGCTGCGGCCAGGGGTGGACAGCAGCGGGCACTGCCTCTCCCGGACGACCCCACCCCTCAGCAGCTTCGTGAGTGGGTTGTTCAGCGAGGCAGTCCTGGTGGTGGAGGTTTTGGTTATACGTGGCCTAAGCGGCCTCGCGACTGTGCTTCTCAGCGATGCGTCCCTGGCTGTGTAGAGGTTACCGCTCTCGGTTCTAGTGAGTCTGCTGCTGCTCCAGGTGCTGGTGAGTCTGCTGCAGCTCTAGGTGCCCGTGAGTCTGCCAACGCTCTAGGTGCTAGTGCGTCTCCTGCCACAGGTCCTGCCTCAGCTGAGGTCTTGCACACTTTCACACTTGACTCAGGCGCGTCACGTTGCTTCTTTCGTGATTGCACCACATTCACACCACTCGCAGCACCTGTCCCAGTCTCACTGGCTGACCCCTCTGGGGGCCCAGTAGTTGCGAGAGCCTCCACTGTCCTCCCTTGTCCAGCAGTCCCCTCCGGTTCTCTGTCAGGTCTCCACCTCCCCACGTTCTCGACGAACTTGGTGAGCAACGCTGCCATTCAGGATGTCTGGGTTGATACCTTTATTCTTGGAGGGCAGCGTGTGGCGATCTGTACGTGCTCCCGGACTGGCCGTTACCTGGCTACGTTCACTCGCCAGCCTGGGTCTAGTCTGTACACACTGACCACTCCGTCTGCACAGGTGGCTGAGTCAGGTCAGGTGGCTGCGTCGAGTCGGGCGTCTGCGTCGGGATAGTTAGTTGCGTCTTGCTCGTGCAGAGTACTCACGCACGAGACTCAGCGCTGGCACCACCGTCTTGGTCACCCCTCCCTGCCGCGTCTACGCAGCATGCACTCCCGTCTCCTTGTCTCTGGCCTCCCCAGGACCCTGTCCCCCCTGCCGCGCTCGCTTGCCCCGCCGTGCCTTCCTTGCGTCGAGGGGTGGCAGCGCGCCGCTCCTCACTCCTCCGAGTTTCCTCCGACCACTGCTCCTCTGCAGACTCTCCACATGGATGTGTGGGGCCCGGCCCCCATCTGTGGAACGGACCGCGAGCACTACTTCCTGCTGGTTGTTGACGACTACACACGCTACACCACTGTCTTCCCCTTGCGGCGCAAGGCGGACGTCAGCGGTGTCCTGATCCCCTGGATCCGTGCTACCCGTCTCCAGCTGCACGAGCGGTTTGAGCAGGACTTCCCAGTCCTGCGTCTGCACTCTGACAGGGGCGGTGAGTTCTCCTCTGACCTCCTTGCGGGGATCTGTCGAGACGAGGGCATCCGCCAGACGTTCACACTTCCAGCCTCTCCTCAGCAGAATGGGATTGCTGAGCGTCGCATTGGCTTGATCATGGAGGTTGCTCGCACCTCCATGCGGCTGCTCCCCATTTTCTGTGGCCGTTTGCGGTCCGATACGCTGCGCATCAGCTCAACCTCTGGCCCCGTGTCTCTGTGCCAGAGACCTCGCGCACCCTCCGGTGGACGGGAAAGCCTGGTGATGCGTCAGTGTTTCGGGTCTGGGGCGCGCTCTCCCTTGTTCGCGATGCCAAAGCGAGCAAGCTCTCCTCTCACACTCTCCGCTGCGTCTTCCTTGGCTTCCCCACTGACGCCCCGCCGTGGCATTTTTACCACCCGCGCTCGCGTCGAGTCTTCGCCTCCCAGGACGTCACCTTTGACGAGTCTGTCGGTTACTACCAGTTACACCCGCACGCGTCCCACCCGGTTCCCCTAGCACCCCTCTTCCTGGTACCAGTCCCCCCCCCGGTAGACCCCCTCCCCCCACAGGGTCCTGCTCCCTCAGGTGTGTCTCAGGTCGACCCACCCCCCTTGGATGAGCCAGTGGAGATCTCTTCTGACTCCTCTGGCCCAGCTGAGGGGGGTGACCCAGTTGCGGACGACACGGCGGCCACTCGTCGCTCTCCACGCTTGGAGACCCCCCCCCCCCCCCCGGGTTTTCCGCCTCGACCGTCTTCGCCGCCTCCGCAGCCTGCTGCTGTGGACTCTGGAGCTGAGACTACAGGTGCTGAGACTGGGGGTGCTGAGACAGAGGGTGAGGGTTCTGGAGGTGCTGTGCCTGGGGGTGCTGGTTTTGGGGGTGCTGCGACTGGGGGTACTGACTCTGGGGGTGCTGCGAGTCCTCGTGACGGTGGAGTTGTGGGTGACCCTGTTGGAGGTCCTGGCGTTGGAGGTACTAGAGGTGCTTCTGGTGCTGGAGGTGCTAGAGCTACCACTCCTGGAGGTGCTGGAGCTGGACAGCCACCGCAGCCTGCTCTACTTGAGACGCTCTCGCTGCAGGCGATTCGTGCGTGGGTCGTTCGGCGAGGCTAAATTTGCCGAATCTAACACCAGGTTACATGTACATGTGGAAGTCTTATTGTGGATAGAGCCAATTTGTGTGAATGGATATAGAAGCTGATGTAAAACCAAGACAGCAAGTGTAGACACACCAGACCAGGAGCATCAAATATGTCGGTGAGAAATTCTTTCCTGGTGGAGCGGCTTGTACTGCGGACAATCACATTGCCGTGTCAGCTTCGGCGCTTCCCAGCGTGTCAACGCGCAATCCTTGCCGCGTGTGCGCATCTGCGACGAACCACCCCCTCAGCCGAACTCCACCTCAACACAGTCGAATAGAAGGGGGAAATTGTCCTCCCCCCGCTACTGGTCCCCGTAATTCCGTCGCCAACAACTTCATGACAACAGCTCCACCAACCCAACACTTTTTCGTGTACGAAGCTTCAAACTGGACGAGGCTTCGCGAAGATTCGTTTATTCGGTAACGCGTTTTCGACTCCGAAAGCGCATATTCGGTGGGGGTGCGGGGCAAGTCGGGCGCTGAAGCCCACCTCATGCATGGGCGCGGGATCTTGGATTTTGCCATGCAAGATAAATAGAGACTCGAGAAATTACAATTCTTTACCTAGGAACCAGTCAGAGCCACATTTAGCGGATTAGGGACGAGTAGCACAGCCAGCCACGCAGGTAGTGCCTAAGCGCTCTCCTGTCGCATTCCTTCCAGGCGACTCTTGAAGTCCCTGAAAGTCGCTTCAGCTGATTGACCAGCGACGTTGCGATTCTACCAGCTTCGCACGCATCCTGCGTTGTGCTCCCCCCCCGCGCGTACTTTTTTCCTTCCCCCTCCCCAAGCGGGGCTACCTCGTCCAGTCTAGCCAGATGCTGCGCGTGTCCGCTCCTCCCTCGCGCTCTCTCCTCGCCCCGGAGTCGCTAACTACAGCAGCGAAGCTCACCGTCGTCGCGTCGCGAACTCTCACCGCCTGGCAACCCCACAGCGCAGCAACAGCAGCAGCAGCAACCCAGGAGCTTTCCAGTCGTCGTCTGCACCGCAGCACCGGAGCTCCTTATTTTGCTCGTTCACCAGATCGATCGTCCGGTGCCGCAGCGACCGCGTCGCTTCGTCTATCTCTCACTGGTTCTGCCGCCACCTCCTCCCACGCTAGGTCTTCCTCCCTCTCCTCCTGTTCCTCCTACGCGCCTCGCTTCGCCTGTACTTTTGCGGCTGATTCTCGCGCTCGGTCCGCTCCCCGCTCCGCCGCTCCCCGCGCATCCGCCAGCGCCGGTACCGCGTCCGCCATGGCTACCAAGTCCGCAAGAGCCGCGGAAGCGCTGCAACGCGTTAAGGATGCCGGTCTATTCCGCGACCAGTGCCTTATCGGGGACAGCTGGGTTGGGCCTCGTGACGCCGGCCCTACTATGGACGTAGTTAATCCAGCCACGGGGGACCTTATAACGCGTATCCCGAATCACGGGTACGACGAGACGCGCCAGGCCATCGCCGCCGCGTCCGCGGCCTTTCCTGGTTGGTCGACGCGCACCGCGAAGGAGCGCGCCGCGGTGCTGCGCAGGTGGTACGAACTAATCATTGCGAATCGCGAGGAGCTCGCGCTGCTGATGACTCTGGAGCAGGGAAAGCCGTTGGCCGAGGCGCGCGGCGAGGTCGACTACTCCGCGGGATACGTGCAGCTATACGCGGAGGAAGCGACGCGGACCTACGGCGATATCATCCCCGCACCGCTAGCGGACAGGCGGATTCTGGTCCAGAAGCAGCCGGTGGGGGTAGTAGCAGTAATTACCCCGTGGAATTTCCCCCTCGCGATGATTGCGCGCAAGGTCGCGCCTGCTTTATCGGCGGGTTGCACGGTTGTCGCGAAGCCGTCGGAGCTCACCCCGCTCTCCGCGTTCGCGCTCGCGGAGCTGGCGTTGAAGGCGGGCGTGCCGCATGGGGTGATTAACATCGTTGTAGGCGACGCGCCGCCCATCGGACAGGCGATTATGGAGAGTTCCGAGGTGCGGAAGCTGAGCTTCACCGGGTCTACTGCCGTAGGGCGGCGCCTCATGGCGGGCGCCGCGGCGACGGTGAAGCGGGTGTCTTTAGAACTCGGGGGAAACGCGCCGTTTATAGTCTTCGACGACGCTGACGTGGCGGTCGCCGTGAAAGGGCTGCTCGCGGCGAAGTTCCGGAACGCGGGGCAGACGTGCGTGTGCGCGAATCGCGTGCTGGTCCAGGAGGGAATCTACGACGAATTCGTCTCCGCAGTCAAAACAGCCATGGAGCAGCAGTTAACTGTTGGATTTGGGCTCGAGGACGGGGTGACTCAAGGGCCGTTGATCAACCAAGCAGCAGTGGAGAAGGTGGAAAGCCATGTAGCCGACGCGGTGAGCAGAGGAGGCAAGGTGCTGCTAGGAGGCTCTAAAGCCCACCCGTCCTACCTCTCTGCCCCGGCCGGAGAGCTACCAGAGAAGCTCCCTGGATGCTTCTTCCAGCCAACGCTCGTGGTAGATGTTCCTTCGGACTGCCTGTGCTTCCAGGAGGAAACATTCGGGCCGCTGGCCGCTGTTCACAAATTCTCCTCTGAAGCCGAAGCGCTGCGCATTGCGAATGACTCGGAGTTTGGTTTAGCTGCGTATGTGTACTCGTGGGACATGGGGCAGTGCTTTAGGGTTGCGGAGGGGCTACAGGCGGGGATTGTGGGCGTGAATGAGAGCGCGATCAGCACGGAGGTGGCGCCGTTTGGAGGGGTGAAGCAGTCGGGCATGGGGCGCGAGGGGTCGCGGTATGGGCTGCAGGATTATATGGATTTGAAGTATGTGTGCCTGGGAAACCTCAAGTGAGAGGAAAGGTGGAATGTGGATCGAGGGTTCTTGAGGCGGCGTTGGCGATGGTGTGGGGTGTGGGGGGACCTTGATATTGGCTGCAGGACTACATGGGTTTGAAGTATGTGTGCCTGGGGAACCTGAAGTGAGATGGGAACTTGAACTGAGAGGTGGGGACCCTGGAAGGAGCAGGGGTGGGGAGGAGGGGTGAGGGGTGGTTGCGGATTGGAGCAGGCTTGGATTGGATGGCATGGATTGCACGGGTCCCAGTTGCAGGGTTCTGAAGTATGTGTGCCTGGAAATCGTGAAGCGAGAGGTGGGAGCTTGGAGAGGAGAGAGTGGGTGAGCTGAGGGGGATGTGTTGGGTGTGTGAGTGGGGCGGTCACTGGTTTCAGCGGTGTTAGGTGTGTGCGGCGCCGGGCTGTAGTGAACGTGTGGGCGTTGAGCTGGTGTGGTCGTGCAGGCAGATACGGTATGGGAGTTGTGTTCGCACCGTACCATTCCCTTGCTGCTGTGGAAATTGTGGTTGGCTCCCTGTTGGTACTTGCTTGTAGCTCCCTGACTTTTGTTCTCCATGGCTTGTGCTGTGAATCTTTTCATTGCTGTAGGTGTAGTTGCTGCTGGTGCCAGCACCTCCCGTGTTTCTCCACCTGTCAATGCATTCTAATCGACTTGTCAGGTGTTTCTCAGCATTCACTGCCTGTAGCAGGGGTGCACGTACACATCTAGGGGGCAACTATCCGGTGCCAGACGCAGGCTACCCCATAGCACTATCAAAGTCCTATCCAGGCACAATAACATTAGTAAAACATATGCTCTATGGTCACTAAAACAAGCACTGGAGAGAGCAGGCATGTCCAGGAAGTCACATTCAAACTCATTTATCTCAGCTACAGCTAGCCACTACCCTGCACACATCAGAACTGCATCAGCACAACCTTCCTCAGACTAGCTAGCACCCTGCACACGTAGTGATATATGCAAATCACCCACCTGTAATACGCCTAGCACGTACATCACATCTTTATTCACCATGTTCTGTAGCAAATCAGCGACTCAAACAAGCCAGTGAGGCAACTCTACCCACTGCAGCGCTGCTCCTTTGAAGCCCCCCTTTGAAGCCCTCACGTAATCCCTGACTGGCACTGCCCGGAGAGGGGTGTAATGCATGTATGGATGGACGCTCACTTCACTTGGTGCCCTCCCCCTCGGGTCGCACCACGAGCACGGGTACTGGTGCACTGTGCACGCAATAGCTGGACACGCTGCCCAGGAGTTGGCTGTCGCGGGGAGCGAGGAGGGGAAGAGCAGGCGAGTGGGAGGGCAGAGAGCGAGAGAGAGAGAGAGAGAGGATTCTGAGAAACGAGGTGGCAGTGGTGGTGAGTTGAAGCAAGGAGAGAATGAGATGCCGGTCATCTGCTCATTTCGACTGGTTCAAGGACCGAGGGGATTTTCGACTGCCGGACAAGATCAATTCAAAGTCAACAGGATTTCCACCCCTCGGTGTGCCTCCCTCTCCCGTACTCCTTTCCAGTCCACTCAGAAGAAGGAACAGGCGAAAGTATTCATTGTTTTTCTTCCATTCCTTTTTTTACTCACCGTGTGAGAAGGCCCAGGCCCCGCGAGCCCACCACTAGCAGGTCCGCGTTCAGCTCCCCCGCCTGGTCGCATATCACCGTGCGCGCATCGCCTATCTCCGCCCTTGTTTCCGCGGAAAACTGGTATGGGCGGAGGGAGAAGCGGCGCATGGGCGGGAGAGTCAGGAGAGGATTACAAGGGGAGTGGAGCGCGCTCCCCACATGAAATTCGCATGACGACTATTAGGATAGACTCGAATGGAAGCACGTGTACATGACTCACGAGAGGGCCGCGCACCTTATGGAATTCTCATGGTTGCTGGGAAATTTTGGGGCTCATCAAAGAGGAGCGGTGCGCACCTTATGGGCCTCGCAAATCTCCTGGCATTTCTGCAGCGTTCTGCGGCTGAGGTTGCTGATGTGCGTGCGAATGGACTCCACCGTTTCCGGGTCCAGGGAGACTGCGATGGATACAGCCAGGGAACGCAAAACACAGAACGGTGAACCAGGGAAGAGACGCAAAAGAAAGAGGTACTTGTGAAGTCAGATTATACGAGAGCGACAGGCTTTGCGGCTAAGCAGGTTTACCATCTTTACCTACCATGCCCTGCACGAGGTCAGGCCTTGACTGCACGTTAATCGCTTAATTCTATCATGGAATCCATTATAAGTTATATTAGGGTGCTCACCGTCCTTGGCGACCATGCCCTGCACGAGGTCGGGCTGCGACTGCGCGTGTAGGATGACGACGCGGTCGCCCGCCCGGAGGAGGTGCTCCGTCGCCCACCGCACCGCGTTGTAGCTGTCCTCTGATGAGTCTACTGCGAATAAAATGGTTCGCGCCATATTTTAGTAGCTTGCCGATGATAGGTCGGTTTCGTCTTTCAGCCTTGCGTTTCGTTTCGTTTCTAGAAACTGGAGTTTCTTTTCAGTTAAGGATAGCAGTAGAAGAATGGTTCGAACCTTTAAGACGGATATGTTAGAGGAAATCGTTTCCTGCGAGAGATAGAAGCGTTATAGCGGCGTCATGTAACAGCGTGAAGGAGAATGCGTTGGTGAAAAGCTTGAGAACGAAATACGATTCTTGACGTGCAAGAAAACCACGATATACACGAGCAGAGCCAGCGAAAGACAAGAGGGAGGAGAGCAAAATGAGCCCCCCATTTCTCAGTCCTCATGCGAGTGCAATGCTACGGCCACCATTTCTTGAAGCTGTGGCATGTCGCGTGTGCGATACAAAAGCCGTGTCGCGTGAATACACTCGGTCACTAACTTTGCGTATCCAGAGGCTTATTTCTGCTTTCGTATTAGCGAAGCTGCCCTATGTTCTGGGCAGAGCTGTATCGTTGCGCAATTGGCCAGGCCGGGCTACGTGGGTTTCTCTGCCTCTGACGTGTAACCTCACACATGGCGACTGCCGCCTTATCGTTCTTGCTGACTCAGCCCATGTCAAGGTCGATTCACGTGTCAAACTTAGCAGCATCGTTGTACAGTGCATGATTATTGTCATCTGCCTTATCGTTGCACTGGATCACTGTCATCCCGGTATTTTTAGAAATTCCATTAAGTTGTTCAACAATGTCAATGTGACACTACCTACTCACCACATACCGTACACTAGTTAGAAATGCAAATCCAAACCAATGCAATGCCAGTCATTGCATATACCATCGATCAATAGCATCCCTTAGGTACTCCTTTTTCCGACTTATCATAGACCAGGCGGGATAAATTGTGGTGCAATGTGCTAACGACCCCATTATGAAGGCACCAAATTGCTGCCTCTCACGGAGCACGGAATGAATGCGCGTAAGCACCCGCTTGGAGTAAATCTGAATCGTGGCCAATTCTTGTGGTGTACACCTTGACTTTGCTCTTGTGAGGTCCCTAGCTGTTGTAGGCTCCGAGTCGAACACTTTATCGAGGCAGCTGAAGATGTTTGTAGTGGAAGATTGGTTCTGCCCACGGTTGGCGATTTCAATGGCTGCATAGTCGGCCACCGAGTTAACGATAAAAAGTGGTCTGGAGATGTAGAAGAGATTGAATTGTGGGAAGAAGCAGCGCTAGGGGCCCCGGGGATTAGCTGAGGTGAAGGGTACATGAGACAGGGAGATGGGAAGAGTGAGAGAAGAGATGAAACGGAGTAGAGGAATAGGGAGCCAACACCTCAGAATTGCGTCGTTTGTTGAGTCGGTACTGTCTACAATGTTGATGCAGCATTCACAAACGTATCAAATCAGATGGTTCTGCCCATCGTCCAATAATCCTCTCTCTCACCGTTTTTACAGTCGGGATCCATTATAGAGTGATGCAGTTCCGTCATCCTCTTGGCTAGCGTACGGAAGTACATTTGCCCTGTGACATCAGAGCCATCTGACAGACAACCAAGGCAACCAGCATAGAACAGGACGAGCCGGTTAATGATGCCAGAATTCCCCGCCAACAAAACGCAGAAACAGAGCAGACAGCACTCTTGCCAACGCCCCAAACTCCAATCCCTCAAGACCACAAAAACCCCGCAAGACAAGCGCTCGGTGCAGTGCGAGCAAGAGCATAGGGGGCTGGTGGTGGAGGGTACGGTCCTGCTGGTGCTGGAGCTACTAGTCCTGGAGGTACTGCTGGTACTGGAGGTCCTAGAGGTGTTGCTGGTGCTAGAGCTACTAGTCCTGGAGGTGGTGCTGGTGCTGGAGGTGCTGGAGGCACTGCTGGAGGTACTAGAGGTGCTACTGGTGCTGGAGGTACTGGAGCTGGAGGTACTGTAGCTGCTGGTACTGGAGGTGCTGGGGGTACTGGAGCTGCTGGCACTGGAGGTGCTGGTGCTACTGGTGCTGGAGCTGCGGGAGCTGCTGGTCCTGGAGGTGCTACTGGAGCTGCTGACCCTGGAGGTGCTGGTGCTGCTCGTGCTGGAGGCGCTGGAGCTGGAGGTACTGGAGGTGCTGGAGCTGCTGGTCCTGGAGGTGCTCGTACTAGAGGTGTTGGAGCCGCCGGAGCAGGAGGTACTGCTGGTGCTGGAGGCGCTGGAGCTGGAGCTGGAGGTGCTGGAGGTACTGCTGGTGCTGGAGGCGCTGGAGCTGGAGTTGGAGGTACTGGAGGTGCTGGAGCTGCTGGTCCTGGAGGTACTCGTACTAGAGGTGCTGGAGCTGCAGGAGAAGGTGGTGCTCCTCGTGCTGGAGGTGCTGGAGGTGCTACTAGAGCTGCTGGCACTGGAGGTGCTGGAGGTACTGCTGGTGCTAGAGGTGCTGGCGCTGCCGGAGCTAGTGGTGCTGGAGGTGCTGGTGCTACTGGTGCTGGAGGTGCTGCTGGGAGTACTGGTGGAGCTGCTCATGCTGGAGGTACGGGGGCTGATGGTGCTCTTCGCCACCTTCTCAGTCTTCCGCCAGGTGCTACTGACTTCCCTGTGGCAGGTACTACTCCTCCGTTACTGTTTCCGCCGGCAGACCAGTCACAGCCGCAGCTGCTACCGCACTTTCCACTGCCTGCTCCTACTCCTTACACTGCGGTGACACAGTCCCTGA